TCATGATTGATATCAATAGCTTTCAGCTGTAAATCAGACAATCCTTCATCTATTATCCTCTCATGTCAGTCTCTCACTTCAAACCTCGCATGTTCACAAGTAAAATGAAAAACTGTGGTATTTTCCCCGGTGTGATCTTCGTTCAGGCCTAATATATAAACCCCATTGAGTACAAATTCAAACCTAGCACGTCCACTCGATCAAAAGGGTGGCATCTTTTACATATTTTTTCCTCCGGAGGAGAGGGGAGGGGGAGAGGGGAAGGGGGGAAGGGGGAGGGAGGGGAGAGAGGAGAGAAAGGGAAGAGGGAGGGGAGAGATGGGAGAGAGGGGAGAGGGTGGGGGGGGGAGATCTGCATGTATCATCATCTAATGCATGATCACACTATCGAAAGGGGGTTGTCTTTTTAATATGTTAGGGATTGTCAACATGCTGAAAGCGGGGGCTCTATATAAAGTAACATGAACAAAGATAATGTAATATCAATCTCGTACTAGCTAACATTAAGGTTGACATGTAATCTGATTCTCTCTGAGTATCTTTGAGGACATGCACGTACCGACAAAGTGACAGAATAGTTGTTGAAATGTCACTGGTTTATAATATCTTGACATTTCAATCACAATAACAAGGGCTTAACCAGTGTCGACAGGATTGATATTAAAAATCTGAAACATTGCATGTCCATGTACCTAGGAATGAATCAACAACTCATAACCCACCCTACTTCTTCTTGAATGTCATTCTTTTTTTCATCCCAACAAAAGCATAGCCTACATGCGATCCATTTATTCACCTGTAATAGTTTCTTCTTCATTCATTTCATGAGCATTATTTTGAACCAACGAATCCGTACAGTAATTACAAAATATGAGGTATCCATTGGTTCATAACAACGCCAATGATTTTGGTTTCTGTTATTGATTTCTTTTTATTCTACTATCATAGTTTCTTTTTTTTTCATTTTCTGTTTTCCCATCTGTGGTCTTCTTGTTTTTCTCTATTGACAGGAAAAAAATTCTTCCCTCTCATTTGCTATCTTGATCTTTAGAGACCACTTCATTTTCAACTTACATGCATGTGAATTATGTGAATTATGTGAATTATGTGAATTATGTGAATTATGGCTGCTGGTAGATTAAATTAACACAAATTCAAATAATCCAAGCTCTTTTTTCATGAATTTTTCAAAAGTTAATAAGATATATTCCATGATTTTTTTATATATAAAGAGGTATAACAAAGGTTCTACCACCTGTAGCTTATATTCTTCTGAATAAGAGTGGATACATAGCACCTGCTGAGTGCCAAAAGGCATCAATTTTTTATTCAAGTATACATTTTATTATATATACGCGTTAACACCCTTCTGACTCTCAACATATGACATGCAAGTTTCTTTATTTTAACAAGCTATCACTTCCCTTATTAAGACCTGAAGGATATTTAGATACGGTAAGTATGCAGGTACAGCATTCCCAGAAAGTGCCTTATTCATGCACAAATTGAGCACGTTACAGAGCAGTCAAAACAAAATTAGGAACACATATTTCATCTCAGTAGGGGCTAATTTGACTTTATTGGGAATATTAGGGAAAGTACCTGAACATGACCCCTTTGGCAACAAGATCTGCCACTCAGGTATGGATCGCAATAAAAAACAAAAATGGAAAAGCGTCTGGGGAATGTAACCCCATGGCATTACTAGTCTTGTGAATTCATGCATAAAGTTGCTGCCCTATAGGCATTATTATGTCCAATGGTACAGCGTAATTACGCCCTACTTTTCTGCAAAATTACGTGGAGATATTTTTAACCATTTTACTTCAGCTCTAGCTTCCTCGTGACTTAAGTTCTGGTCTTTTGGATTCTTATTAAGTCAAGCGCAATCTTTGTCCTTCTATTCTGTTGTCAAGCCATTATTTTGGAGTTAACAATTGCCATAATATTAGGGCGTTATTATGCCATAAATTAGGGTGTAATAACATCGTAATAGGGCATTATTACACCATATAAGAGCGTTATTACGCCCTATATTAAAGTGCCTTGGTAACATGGCCTCAGATTCTGAAACAAAATCCTGGATTTAGCTCATGCTGCAATCATAATTATAAACCTTGAGGTCAGTCAGGAATCCCATGACTTTTACAAGCCGATCGGCAGTCTGATTATCAAGATATTTATGATTGGAAATCAAAATTTTATTTTTCGTTTTCCTAACGGTTTTTATAACACTATAGCCTATTAAGGAAAACGAGTATGGTAAAACCGGTCACTCAAAGATTATTACTTTTTGAGGAACTTCATGATCATTTTGAAGCGCAATTTTTTTAGAGCTTCAATATTACACCAAATCACTGACACTGATAACACGTAGGACCATGCATCTCAAATTTAACATTGTTAAACGATGCCTTTAAGGTGTAATGTCATGATTTTTAAAAATTGTGGGCAGAAATCATGAACCTACTTCAATTTATTGATGAGAGAGAGAGAGATGATGTGTGAGGTAGGAGTGAGAGAGGTGGTGTGTGAAAAGAAGGAGAGAGAGAGAAGAGAGAGCAAATAAAGAAAGAGAGAGAGAAAGCGAGTAAAAAAAGAAATAGAGAGAGAAGAGAGAGAGAGAGAAAAGAGAGAGAAAAGAGAGAGAAGAGAGAGAGAGAGAGAGAATAAATTAGAGAATGAGAGAGGGAGAAAAGGAGAAAGAGAGAGATGAAAGAGAGAGAGAGATAAAAGAGAGAAGAGAGAGAGAGAGAGCAAATGAGGGAAAGAGACAGAGAGATAAAAAAAAAAAAAAAAAAAAAAAAGAAAAAGCGAGAGAGAGAGAGAGAGAGATAGAGACGGACAGAGTGATGTGATGAAAGATGAGAGAGTGATCCCAAGATATTCAGAGGAGCTAGAATGATACCCATGAGGATGCCCCTGAGGATGCCCCTGAGGATGCAAAAAGCCAGTCTGATTCATCTTGATTTAAAATCATATTCATCACAATTCAATAATGCAATGTAGTCGCTGTGTGCCCATAAGAGGGGCAAAAACACATATTTTTTATCTTATTTGGATCTTTTCTTTTTAGGTTTTGTGATGAAAAAATAGAGAAACTGTATAACGGATTTATGAATTATAACTGTAAATATTTTCGACAATGAAAATACTGACTATTTTGAATGGGGTAGTTTCATTTAAAGGGATCATTTAACATTGTTAAATCTGAGATACACGGCCTTACGTGTTATCAGTGTCTATGATATGGTGTAATATTAAAGCCCTAAAAAAAATTGCGCTTCAAAATGATCAAGAAGTGCCTCAAAAAAGTAAAAATCATTGAGTGACCGGTTTTTACTATACTCATTTTCCCCAATAGACTGTAGTGTTATGAAAACTGTTTAGTAAACGGTTTTCAAAATTTGTAATTCCAATCATAAATATCTTGATAACCAGACAGGCGATGGGGTTCCTGACTGACCTAAAGGTTTATAATTATCATTGCATCATGAGCTAAATCCAAAATTTTGTTTCAGAATCTGAGACAAAGTTACCGGATCCCTTTAAGAAAGGCAAAGACTGAAAAATGCAATTTTCCAAAACATAAACATCAGTTGGCCATTCATTCATTAGTACCCAACTGCCAAGCACAGAAAAACATACTTAGTACATGCAAGGAATTATTATGCAAGGGTAATTATGCAAGAAAATGGGGAAAAGATCCTGCAAACATGCAATGGGCAAGAATGTTCTTTCAGATTGCATTGAACACTTAATGTGAAATTCAATTGCTTTTTTTTTCTTACTGTGGATGATTTTAGACTGAAACAATCATTGGGCTATTTTTGATGAAACAATAAATCATAAAATACTACCAGTAATATTGTTGGGATATAAATAGGAAAGTTATAGTTCTGGGAATACTGTCTCTGAGGACTTGACTTGAAATGGCAAGTCTAACAGGTGTCTGTAGAGCCCACCCTCCCTCTCTCTCTCTCTCTCTCTCTCTCTCTCTCTCTCTCTCTCTCTTTCTCTCTCTCCCTCCCTCTTTGTCTCTGTCTACTCTTCTCTACTCGCTCTTCTCATTTCTCTCTCTCTCTCTTTCTCTCTCTCTCTTTCTCTCTCTCTCTCCCTCCCCTCTCCCCCCCCCCTCCCTCCCTCCCCTCTCTCTCTGCCTCTCTCTCCCTCTTTTATACATATCTTGTGATGTGTATAAATCAATAAATTTATTGATCTTTTCTTACTGATCAATAAAAGAGAAACCATATCTTTACCATTTTATATTTCATCATGGCATTGTTTGCATGCAATACCCTGTGGTCTCTGAATTTTCAACAATCTCTCAACAACTTTGGATTTACTCTCCAGATTTTCTGTAATGGGTATGTTGTGTTTTCAAGGATCTATGTCATATTATTTGTCTAGCATGGATGTAGGCTTCATCAACATCTTGTATTTTTCATGATCTGGACATTTCGTACAAAGAAGATAAACAGTTTTTTTGGTCATTCTTCTATTTTTAAACTTTGTTTATTTTGACAATGTTTACTTGTCAGTTGGTCTTGGTTCCTGAGTGAAAGACAGATGAAAGAACTATTTACAGGTAAATCTTGACATTTCTAGATATATCTGGCTTCTACAAGGTATTTCTTCACACCCAAAGTCAGGCTCTCGTGTTAAAATGGCTCAGGAGCTGACTTGTTTCATACACATTCTTTCATGACAATTTCTGGAAATATACATGTAATTCATTGTGGAAATGAACATATGTTTCCTCTTTTTGATAAAAATAACTTTTACCAATCTAAATTTTCTCTTTCCTTTAAAACATGAAACAAAGGCCAAATCAAAAGAGCTACATGTAGATACTTTACAAATGGTTAACAGGTGGGTAAGACTACTGACTTATGTCAACACATAAGCTACATAATAATGAGAAGAAACAAATTAAATACCTAATTTGACAAGAAAAAGAATTAATCATTACGAGCGATGAAAAGAAAATGGATACGTACCATATGACTTCCACAATTAGGATCATTGCCAACAGATGGTGTTCTCTTACACCACCATCCAGAGTCTTGGGCATACGCTGTAAGAACAAGTAAGGGTAAGAATCCTAGTGTAACCCATGCTTCCCAGATTTCCACAACTCCTTTTGAGCTCCATAAGACCACGATAAGAATCCAAACATAGGCAAATAAGGACCACGCAGTTGTTACCAAAAACACTCCAAATTCTTTGATTTTTTTCGCTTCCGGTGAGGGAACACTGACAACGCAAACGGCCGTGATTATTAGAAGATTGAACGCAGCGCTGCCGATGATCGTGAAGGTCCCTAAGCTATCCTTTCGATTTGGCGGTTCCGTAAGGTTCTGCAAGGTCTCAACGGTGTTGAGAAGGATCTCTGGCGCGCTGCTCCCAAGAGCCATCAGAGTCAAATTGGCGACGGTCTCGTTCCAGACGAGGACCTCCTTCTTGACGTGGACCTTGCGTTCCGCGTCATATTTGATGATTGTCTTCTGTTTGCTGGTGATCATCTCGATGCTGCACATGAAGACGTCGCTGATGATAGCGATACCGATGAACAGATAGAACATGGCCATGAGGTATAGCGTGCATCGTAGCCATGCTGGCCACAGGTTCTCTGCAGGCAGGAGGAGCCAGCTGGAACACCTGGTCTGGTTCTCTTTAACAAACTCCACCACATATCCAAGCGAGTAGTTGTCATAGTAAGGTACACCCCTGTAAGACATGCTGAGGATGCTCCGCTCCGTAAGGAACAAGGCTTAGCTGAACATGACTCCAAGGTAGTGGCTTGAAATCTGCAAAAGAGACAAATGAAGGAATAGAAAAGATTACAGTTCCATGCAATTAAAAAATAATAATTAATGACCCTCACTCATGAAAAACAATATTTGCCACAAGTTTGACATTGACTAAAATATCAGAATTGGTGAGTGAGCATGAAGAAAAGGGAAGCATTAAGTTGTTTTATGTACTTCAGATTCTTTTTACAAAAAAACACACAACAATACTGGGGGAATACAAGGGGAAGTCTGGATGGGATCACCAAAGTAAAAAAAACTGGCCTTCACATCTCTATCAAAATTATTGGAAATGAAAATATCATTCATAGGATAACATCCAAAAGAAGCAAATCTGAGAAGATATTTGACAAAACAAACTCCCACGATAAAAACATCTCAGGATGAGAGAGTTCTCTGTGTATCGTATTTCTGGCAAAGCGGAGCCTTGTAGAGCATGACGCACATAGCATGACATCATGAGTGATGTGGGATTGACCTGTTGATCATGACGTTAAAGAGCTTCATATAGCTTAGCGTCTGTTCAGAGCCAGAAGGGCGTTAAGTCTATGTTAAAGTACAATGTATATATTAGTTAATGCCCTTTTTGCTCCAAACGGACATCATATGTTCTTTATCATCATATCTCCTTGCTCTCATTTGAGGACATCATCTTCTTATAGCAAAAAGGGAGTTAACGTATCATTTAATGTTGTTCTGGCTCTCAAGAGAATACAGATACATTAATGCTTGTCCCCCACCAAGCTTCCCAGGGGTAAGGCAGATTAACCCATGCTTTATGAAAATATGATTTCTTGGTAAGGAATATGTTTTTATAAGTGACATCAATTCAAACTAACAAAATAAAATCTCTCAAATTTTATCATGGACATACATGTATAAACAATGTATACTAAAGATTTTCACTGTTCATTTCACAAACCAAGTTAGATAAGTTGATTCCAAATATAGATTGATTTATAAACGTGTGCTGCGCGGATATCACTTTCCAATTATAATCACAAGGTCGTGAAAATCCTTAATTACATTTTTCTTTTGATCACAAATGTATTCAAGGTTCAATTCCCATGCCAATTTGAGCATCAGACAACATTTTTTAATGTTAACATTATTATTTCCAAGGCTTCAACCATGGAGAGAGGATGGATCCCAATGGCACTTCCTGAAATAGCCATTCTCCTCTCTGCTTGCATACTGTCAATAAACAGCTCTGGGTAGGGCCATCATCGCCAACAGGTCTTTTCTTGACAATTATGTGTACAGAGGAAAATTAGAGCTGAATGTAAATGTCAAGACATGGTTTTCCTTTGCCGACGACGGAAGAGTTTTGCAGCATGTCTTGTACATGGATACAAGTTAGAAAGCAAACTGAGCTGGAATGTTGGAGAGTAAAGAATACATTGCACCATTATCTAGTAACAAATTATGATGCACATTTACTTTTGTATTCTGAAGAGGTAAGGAAACTTCATTGAATTCAGGAGTCTTGTTTTGTTTGACACAAGTAATTACATGAACATTCCATCACAACAGATAAATAAAATCTGACAGTCAATTTTTTTTTTTAATCCAAATTGTTTTAGTACCAAGGACTAGCACACAATGAAGCCATATGAAGGTCTACTGTGAAAAATTATTTGTCAGTCATGTGTGTCACACATTCTAACATGTTATTTTTCCACTGGTGATAACAACAATTTAAACATGTACATGCAGGGACAGATCCATGAGGAGGGGGGGGGGGTCAAGCAAGGGGGTATGGATCCCTTTTTCTTTTGCTTGTCAGAGATTTGGGGCATTGGACCTCCATTTGGAATATTGTACCCCTTTTTATGCTCTTTATCCTTTTTTTGTTGTTTACCTTCCTTGTCAGATAATTGGTATTAGGACCCCTCCTTACCACCCCTCCCCCTTAAAAAAACTCCTAGAACCACCTCTCACTTGAATGTTTGCACACTACAGGACTACATATATGTACAAGTACATTCAAGAACATTTGATAACCCACACCGGCCTCATTCGTAACCCTCAGCAAATATCCTAATCCGATCACTACATGATTGCGCCACTCTGCGCTGTCAAGGTAATCCTCTCCTCTCCGGCAATGTCCTACTATGCTTGATTTGATTGGACAGAATGATTAAAAGTTCTCCTAATTCGGTTTGGTAATTGCTTGAATGTCAACCCCCAGTAAACGACCCCCACACCCAAGGCTTGACATTTTGCAGGTGATGGATTTGATGCCTGAAAGGACCATCACATCAAGGCAGATAAACACATTTCAATGAATTCTTGGAGATGGCTGTTCATAACAGGAAGCATCAAGCCACGTTTAGATTCTATTCTTCTGAAGATGGATGATGCAATGTCAAATTCATAAACCACTTTTTAAATTAAAAATTTAGTCTCTAGATACAAATTTGAAGTAAACTATGAGGTGATGAGGTACAGTGTGGTGACATAAAAAGGCCCTTAACAGAGCATAAAAAGGCCCTTAACAGAGCATAAAAAGATAAAATTGCAAGGATCAATCCTCTAGGTATATAATGCTGGTAAGATGAGAAATCAAGAATTGTGGGGTAAATGAGGTTCTAATATGTTTACAAATTCCCCTTTTGAGGTTGTCACATGTACATTAATTTATTTCCTCACATGAAGTTACTCCTACTTCAGTGAGATACAAGTGTATTTATTTCCACCTCTAATACAACCTACACAAGAAGCCCTACAGCTGTACACTATGATCAAAATAGTACTCTCCATTAATTAGAAATTTAGTGAGATATATATGTTTGAACATGGATTCTGGTTCCTTGTGAGGTTTCCAAAAGTGCATTTCCTATATATTCACATTCCATAAAGGACAACAAATAAGGCCTGAAACTCTATTGTTTAAATAGATCGGTCTATGTAACCGGTAAATTACATGACATGAAAGGACTCTGGTACATGTCGAAGTAAATCTTTATGAACATTATATACCCAGGTACAAAGAATCCTGGTTACCGTTTCCCGAAAATGTCACCTGAAGGCTATTCCACAATCTGACAATCTTTCCCCTCGAGATTATCGTCCAAATTGTGTTTGACTTGTGTACAAGTACCTGGTCAGAGATCAGAATGATCAGACGTTGTTTACTATTGTTATGGAGATGTAGGAATGTAATGTCTTTATCGTCCCCATACAACAAACATTGGAATCGGTCATCGGGCGTACTTTGATTTAAAGAATAAAGAATAAATCCTTCAGGGCACTCAGGCTAATGAACTATTGTCATACAGATATCATTCTCTATTGTTTTACACACGTGTATGTACATTAGGAGGAAAAAGAGCCAACATATTGCTGGGAGCCAGAAGGGCATCAACTCATGGGGGGGGGGGTATCAAATTTGATACCCTTCTGGATCTCAACAGATAATATATGCACTGGTCAGACATTGAAATCAATCTTGATGTTGACTTGCTTGTCATGAGAAACTGCAGTCAAACCTGTCCATAGCGACTGCCCAAGGGAAACACAAGAAGTGGTCTTTGTAGACAGGTGGTCTGTAGACAGGTTCTTTTAGTACATGTTTCAATGAGAAACTATTTTTCAAGGGAAACCAAAAATTTGGCGTTTGTAGACAGGTGGTGACTAAAGCAGGTTTGAATGTATAGTATATGTACTAATAGCTAAAAGTCATTCTAAATTGTTTGGTATGCTCTGAACTAGATGGTTTGGCCATGTAAAGAGAAAAAACTTGCTGATATTTTCACATACAGGAATTATTTGTCTCCATGTATACATACATACATACATGTATATAGCACCATAAAAATACTGGTATGTTTCTTTACCTGCCCTTTGAGCTTTGGTGCAGGGAAAAGGTGTTGGCTTAATACACCTTAAATGTCTATAAACCCTTTGAGACCTTTTACTGAACATGTACAATGTATACCAGTCTGCTCATGTTATAAACACTATCCATAGTAACAGTCAGTAGGTCAAAGACCCAGGACTCCAAAGTGCATAAAATTGACTTTACGCCTAAAAATAGAAGTCTTGAATAAATAAATGGAACCTGATGCCAAATCTAAAGATTTTGACAAATTTTCACTCAGCGTGTCGATTACAATTGAATGTGAAACCAAACACTAAACTAACAATAGTTTAATCAAAGAGTGTTCATAAATCAACCAAGAAAAATGCACTTGTTATTCTTTTACACACACTTCCTCCCTCTCTCTCTCTATCTCTAACCCCCTTTTTTCTATGTTTTCTCTATCTGCTTTCTGCATCTCACTTGGTCACTTACAAAAGATTTATGTGTCATGTATCTACAGGAACAGTAACTTTCAAATCCCCTTTTTTTTCTTCTTCTTAGCTTCCAGTTGTGTCCATTTTCTTTTGACAGACAAATATTTTCCTCTATTGTTTTGCTACAATAACAAATTGCTCAAATAATAATTTTACCAGAGTAACACTACAGAGCTATATTCATATTTCATTGTTTGTCCTGATGTGTTTTTGTTCTCTTCTCTCTCTCTCTCTTTTATTTGACTTTTGTTGGACAGGTAATTGTCACTGTTAAATGTCACTGCACAACATGTACATGTTTGCAACAACATCAGCTGTACCCTTAGGGAATGCCATCTTACACTGCCCCCCTTAAAACCGCCCCCTAAACCCCCCCCCCCCCCCCCTAAATAAAATAGTGTAAAAACACAGACACAGATTCATGCACAAGCTCTGTGTAATTGGGCAACTAAATTGCTTCTGAACAGTCAAATAAAACCTAGGGGACACTTATAATTTGTCCCTCTTGGGTGAATGTACATTAACTAATGATGCGAGGAGTCTAAATCAACCTGTATGTGCTTGCAGGGTGTCTCTAGGTCATGCATCTTCATTACTTTTTGTCTCCTACAAGTATGTCTCACATAAACAACTTGCATACACATGAACTTAACACTACATGGTACCGGTAAACGGAACACAGTGAACATGGCCAAAAAATAATAATTCCAGACACCTAACATTTTGATATATTGTGTACATGTATAAAGGGGCCCCTTTCAATCAGACTGTAAAAAAAAATCAATCTAGACTCTACACCCCCCCCCCCCCCCCCTGGAAAAGGTTACCATGGAGCCTTGAATGCACTTCCTTTTTTAAATTTCTTTTTATGGTTTTATTAGGGAGTTTTTGCTTTTTAATTCCATGAATTTGCATCCACAGTCTACTGCAGGAGGAAAAAATGTTATGCAAAATTGTCTTCAGAGAATTTGCCTTTTATAGCTGTCAGCTGCTCATTCAAAGCATTTGGGTGTTTCCTGGCTTTACAACAAAAGTAAAAACTAGAGCAGCCACAAAAGAGTTATTATCGACCTTCCATATGCCATCCAGGCAATCATAGATATTCTCAGATTTAATCAATAATTTTAAAGGTATATGATATAGGTCTGCCCTAGCAGAAGTGTATTTAACCGGGTCGAAATTAATAGTGTAATGCAATTGCATACCCTGCGATTTCTTACTTACCATTGTGCATATAGTTATGTGTAAGGTGAAGAACTAAATTTGATGAACTAAATTTGAAGAACTAAATTTGTTGAACTAAATTTGATGAACTAAATTTGAAGAACTAAATTTGAAGAACTAAATTTAATGAACTAAATTTGTTTTATACTTCTGGAATATGAGATTATACACATAATGATTTTCTGTGGATTTTTTTCTTCTTCAATCCAACAAATTTTGTAGGGCATGATCATACGTTACTGTACAGTCACTAGGCTCCCCAAATATACAACCTACATTTCCATGATAAAACTGACATAGAAGTAAAATAGTAATAATAAACTGTATTAGAGAAATGAAGATGTTACTTACTTAAGTTACAGTATCTAGGCCTACATATAGATGACAGAATGTTACAGAAACATTTACCAGGTATACATTTGGGCTTAATTTATATGTGACAAAAGGGTTGCACATTTACAGGTGGACCCATTTTCAACAAAATATGTTTTCACTGATATGATTAACAAGTCCTATTGCTTCAAACCATTCAACATTATGCTCTTAAAGAGTAATTTTCACTTAGGTAACATCCATAAATCACGCATTAATTTACATGGTATAAGGAAATACTCTTGTTTTCAACTTATAGGTCTACATGTATGTAGATGCACATGAAAGTGACCAACCCATTGCTAAAACAGTTATATCATGGCTCGCTATGCTCTATTATAGCACGTAACAAGCCTTGTGCGTTAATGCGGCAGTACTACTGTGCAAAAACACAATAAGACTTTGGATCCACTGACCAGGGCTGCCGGGCAGGCACAATGACGTGAAGTGTCACTGAATCTATTCAATGTCCCTGCCAACAAGACGCTCTTTCAACACACATGGTTTCATGGTAGTCTTTACATTAGACCCTTTTACGCATGAATGTATATTAGGCCTATTGTTAATCCATTTACTGTGTATTCATTCTTTAGAACTGTTAAAAGTTTTCTTCTGTATCTTCCAGTCTGTTTGATTAGAGATTAACACTGCACTTTATTTCAAAAAGATTAATTTGATTTGATTTGTTGTTTTGTTCACAAAGTTAGAATGGGCCATCAAATTACGATGCAATATGTGTCAGTCCACCAACATGAGAAGCATAAATGCATGCACATAAAAGCCAGTTTAAAAGTACTTTTCTGTTTCCAGGAGCTCTGTTAGTATTGGATGTTGTAAAAGTGTGAGTTTCTCACAGTGATATTAACGATTTTAAATGTGTTGAAGTGCATCAAACAATGTTTCAACGTGTTCATGTTTCTTTCAATAAACTATATCAGTGCCTCGAATGATGTACCAATAGAGTAAATCATAAATAATACACATTATTCATAAATATGGGGTCTTGTTGCTCATATTTAACATTAATGTAAAGAATACATGAATATTTCAGTCCTAATTAATCAATTATCTTGGGAAAGTATGGAACATGAGTCTATCTATGCATGTCCTCTGTTCCTTCATTCTAAAATAAATTAGTCTGTTTTTAAAGACTATTCATAAAACTAGATCTCAATCAATAGCGATCTACCTTCCAAACAACAGTACATAGGCTACAAGTACATATATTATTCACAATCTGTAGCACTGTACGAGATGTAAATGTATGCATAAGGCTAACAACTATACAGATTAAAATGGGCCTTCAGAACATGATATCAAACATGGCATTAAAATGATTAAATGTAGAATATATTTGCTGACTTGTCATGATATGTGATTGTTACATTGTGTAGATATAAATTCATGTTCTCTTACCCTGTATAATTAATTATAAAGGCTTTGTGTACAGTGTATTTCTGGCACGCAAAGTTGGTTATTCCAATCAAAAGTGGTGGAATTTGGACCTGAGCAATATTTCGTAATCATAAAATGACTTTGATTAAAGAATATCAGCTGAATAATGTAAATGAGTAATAGCTTGTAAACTAAATGACTGGTGTGGGTTTTATGAAAAAATGTTAATCTTGTCAAATTGCCAAGACCAAGTGGACTACCCCTTGAAAATGCCTCGGTTTTTTTTAGTGGGGGTGGTATGCAACAAGTGATAACATTCAAATTCACAGGAATGAAGCAGAAAGCTATCTTTTAGAAACAATTCTGAAAACAAGATTATCTTTCCAAAATGTGTTCCAACTCACCCATTTTACAGTATGTTCTAAAGTTATATATTCTGAAGCTTTACTTTGTAAAAGATTTTACAAAGAAATATTTATTGATACTGCTTCAAGTGATTTTGTTTTATAATTTAACAGTCATATAATTCAATCTGCACACATTGCTCCATATTCACCTCATCCCCACCCCTTCTCTTTCTTTCTCTCTCTCTCTCTCTCTCTCTCTCTCTCTCTCTCTCTCCATCTTTCCTTAATCTTGAATAGTGAATTATTTTATGCAATTTATTTACATGAATTTTTTTACATTTCTTCTAACATCCCTCCCCAAATCACTTTTTTTCATCCTCATCTCAAAATTAAATTTCTTTTTCATCATGTCCTTTAACTAGTGCTCAACATTAAACTGGGATGTTCTCTAAATACCACAATGTATTTTAATTCATACAAGCAATATTCACTACAATGTATGTCAAAATACCCCCCTCCTCCTCCTTAGTCCATACAAAATATGATTCAGTCATTCAGTATATTTTCCATAGCTGTATTTTTAAGAGATCTTATCAGTACTCAGTCTCATTCAGCCATCATAACAAATGAAGAGTACAATAGTACCCATCAAAGAAAAGAAAAGGGGCAACTTGGGGTGGAATAAATACATTTTGTTACAATTAATTGACCTGATTTTCAAGACCTATACATTTCATTACATGCCAATACCTTCTAAACAAACAACATAATTGTGATACATCTATATTCACTTCATATATTATTATTCCGATAATTGGAACAATTAAAATAATGCAAAAATAAAGATTGTATGAAGAAGAAAAAAGTTAATTTTCTTGTGGGAAATACATATTATTATTTAAAAAATAGTTATACCTGTCATCACTATCAGACAGAATGGAATTCACCAATGACACATAAACAAATAATAAATGTTTTGTCAAAATATATATATGGTGTCTGTAATAATGCCGTGTGATCAACTGCTAAAAGAAAATCAAACCTTATTTAATCTTAATCAAACCAGGGATATGTGAGTTTAAACTTACCAACTAGTGTTTGCAATCGCAGTGGTTTCTATCAGTATATTCCGACCGAAATGTAAGTTGTATAATCCAAATTATTTTCTCCGTCCACGGTGTACAGTTATGTTGACACGATATAAAGATTTAAGCGACATTTTGGCAAATTTTACTTGGCCATGTTTTCAGAGCGAAGCGACACGGCTTCAAGCTTTGGTCGGATACACCGCAACTCCCGGCGGTCAACTCCTACAGGAATCCGAGGATCGAAAATTGTTCACCTTTGCGACAGACGTAGACGTGATCTGGAATATCTACCAATTCCAAATACTACTAAAAAATACTTGTATATGCGATAAAGCGATCCTATATAATTTCACACCATTATGCCTGTATAAAATCCATGGCTTTGTTTTGAAATCCAGAAAAACAGAAGATGTTTCCCTTCCTAGATTTACTTGAAAGTTGCGAGTCGGTGATAGGTTATCTGCATCTACAATAACCCTATGCGTTGCTCATCAGCGCAGAACTTGTTATCTCGACTCTCTCCATTACTTCGTACAATGCACGTACGTACGGGCAGGCTAGGCCAATCGGCGAGCGAAAGTTTAATCCATGAAATCGACGAGATGATACCATTTGCATACCAATACCGCATTGAAGAAGCATCCTCTATCAAAGTACAAAGAAACCAATTAGAGGGGTTTAGTGCTATAGTAACCGCGCTTGTATTCGATAAGGTGTAGCGAATAAATAGTGGACGTCCTCGGACCTCGGGCCGTCACAACTTTACGTAATCTCGGTTTGTTTTGCGGCGTTGTTCAGAAGTGACCGATTTTATTTGGGAGGGTCGAGGAAGGAGTAAGGGGGGGGGGGGGGCGAAAAAGACTTCGGGGAGAGGAGGGAGTTCCCCCCGCATGGGGTTGACAGAACACCGAAGAGGCGGAGACTCTTGATAAAATGACAAAAATATCTTCCTCCTCGTAATTTTGTTCCATCTTGGTGGGTTTTATCTTATTTTTCCTTGTACTTCAGGCTGACCTTCATCACTTTTTGGTTATTTTTATGACTAATTTACGCCCCGTTGTGATGTACGAATTATTAATTTTGAATGACTTTTGTATCTTGTTTTAAATCACATTTTGATAAATAGCAGTTGTTATTAATTTATTAGCGTAATGCACGTTTATCACTTTGATTAAAGTACAGTGCATGCCATCATCATCCTGCAACTGAAAGATAGGTCTAAAAAAAGGAAATCGTAAAATGAAATCGTTCAATAATATAATTGAACAAAGTAATCATGATGTGTCAATTTCAATTATTCATTTAGGAGGAAGCTTTTATATTAGGGGTTCGTTTTCTTTTAATGTTAATTCGTTTGAAGAAAAAAAAACTATACCCAAACGAGAATGGAATACACTTATCGGTAGGCCTAGAATGCAAAACAGGGGGAAAAATTCATAACATTCAAAATTATCTCAAAAATTGTAAAGAAAAATAACCAAACAAATTGTTAAGCGTTGGGGAATTCCAACCATAAGTCAGACAGGGGTCTGGGTTTAATTCAGTGACACATTAAGCATAGAGGACAGTGCACGCCCCTGTTTGATGGCACAAAAATAAAATCTCTGATTCCGACAGTATTCTTATTGGCTGCCTATCTACATGCATGGTCCTGCTTTTATACTTTATGTCGCCCTCCATAGTCCCAGAACATTCCGCCCCTTTGTCAATTCCTGGATATTACATTACTTTATATTCTTATTAAATTGGATCTGACGCTAAACTGGTTAAAGATTTTATTTTAATGCTTTTATTCTCCGTACAGTTTACTCTTTTACCTCTTTGTATAGTTAGAAGCGTTGATTTAGTGTTCGTAAAGCCTTCAAACTGTACTATATCAGTGGTGGATTATTGGGTTCATAAGTATCATTTTATATATTTTACGGACAAACGATATAATTCGTAATTGCTATATAAAGAGAATCGTTCCAAAACAGAGCACGCCCCCCCCCCCCGCCCAAATCCGGATGTGCCACTTCAAAATATTCGGGATTTGACAGATTAGGTAGAACCAGTGCCTATCAACGGATAACTTCAAGAAACTTTTCAAGGTATCAAGTGTTTACTGACTAAAGGGTACATTATCTTGAGTCTTAAGAATAGCGTACTAAGCTTCACGGTCATTTAACATGATTAAACCCGCTCTGGTTGACATGATATCGAGGGAAACCCGTGAATATCTCTTACAGTATGCAGAGCTCTCAACATCAAATATAGAGACATATCTGACCGCCGAATAACTTATATTGGATTTTCTCTCATGTCCTGACCAGATTCGTGATTACATTACACATTACATTTGGGTCATATCGGGGAACTACAATGCATGGTTGACAGTGTATAGCTCCGTGGGCATAGGGTGTACTCCCGCCCGCCCCCGGTAAAATGAAATTGATTTCATAATGTACCTTGGATAATTTCTTAAGGCTATCAGCAAACATTTTATGGGCAACAAGATTAACAAAAAATGATATTTCTGAATAAATAGAAGCATATGAATTCGTCAAACAAAAATGTAGATTGAAAGCAAAAGAAAGCGAAAAAGACATAATCAGAAATGTTCCCAATTTTAAGTTTACGAATGCTTTTAAAATACAACCAACCATTTTTATATCTAACTTAAAATGTCGATGTTGAGCATTCAATATCACGATTTTCCCTTTAATATCCCTCATTTTCAACCAGGCTATGCGTAGCCATGGCAACACGATGGCCTCTTGTCGCTTGGATTATGATCATGATGAAGGCACAGCCGAGACCAATTGAATTTCAATTTAACTCACCAATGCAAGGATGATCATAATTATCAATGATGCCTAGATAATTGACAAAAAACAGGAACCAAAAAAGTAAAAACAAAGGGGAAAGGGTTCTACAAAATTGTGATGCTGTTGTATATAGCAACCAAGGAAATGATGGGTGTGTATACTCTTCTTCTTCCACATGTATTAATAACCATGATCAATACAGTGGAAAATCCAGAGGCGCTGTTGCCTACCCCCCCCCCCCCCCATCCGCCCCAAAAGAATGAAAAAGGGGAAGAGGTAGAAGAAAAGAAGAAAAACAAGTAGAAAAATACTCACTACTTTCTTTCTTTTCCTGCTTGTCACCGAATTTTCGGACTTCGGATTTTAAGACCTGGATCCGCCGTTGCAATAATTAAAGTTAGAGCTTCTCCTTTATACAAGAATGATCGAAAAATTATTTTCCATACAATAATCGAAGGGAAATAATGGCGTAGCGATGAGGTGGGAGAGGGGGGTCCTTACTAGATAAATAACATAGGGATTGTGAGAGTTTGTGTAAAGGGGTTGTGTAATGTCATCTCAACTCCCCCCCCCCCCTCTATTTCTCTATCTCTCTGTCACTCGATTTCTCTCTTGATCCCAGGTGCAAGTAGGTAGGTAAACTATTTGTTTCTAGTCACAAAAATCCAGAAACACCAACAATGTATTTTGTCCCCTTTCTCTCACTCTCTCTCTCTCTTTCCCCCTCTCTCTCTCTCTCTCTCTCTCTCTCTCTCTCTCCCTCTCCCCTCTCTTTCTCTCTCTCTCTCTCTCTCTCTCTCTCTCTCTCTCTCTCTATTTCTATCTCTCCTTCCCGCCCCCTCTCACCTTCTCTCTCTTTCCCTCTCTCTTTATCTCTCTTTCTCTCGATAACTCATCTAGTTTTCATTCAGTAGACATTTATCTCTTCACGATCCATTCATTTCGTTTGCTATCTTCAATACCTTGGTCGTCTATATCGAATTGATGATCCATTTAATCGAGCGCTTTCCCTTCCTACATAAGATTTACCCTTTCACAACAAATAAATATATAAAAGGTATACGCCCTCTTTTCATTAGCGAGTATCATTGTGTTGAAATCCGGCACTATGCTTGCTGCACTGCAGGCTTTCAAATGACGAGCTGTAAACATTTTTTAACCATGAAGCGTAAATGTCAAATATCTAAGCTAGAATAGTAATAATTAGAGACAATCAAAGCTCTGCAAAGCCAACTTAAATGGCTGTGGCAAAATATTGTAGATAAGATTAAGAAGATAAGGTTTCGAACAAAAGCTGTTATTGATAGACAGTTGCGGTTGACGTGGCGTTTTTCATAGACCACTTTGTCTCGATCAAATAGTAAGGAATTTGATTTTTTATGAATATTTTCTTTAATGATGCTCCTAAAAAGGTCAAAAGCTTATCTGAAGTTTTCAACATAGCACCAATGATTGCATGCACTTAAATACCAAGTTGAAAACAGTTGATTGGGGAAAAAATTGACTTTTTTAATCATTACGTATAGAAGAAAATATTTATGAAAATATTTATATGCAAAATGTTTATTAGAATTAATCAACTTAGTCCGCCATTCAAAGATATTGCCATTAAAATAGCAGTTTTCTGCTAAGAATGAGATTACAATGTCATGTCTATCTCAATATTGAGGGTTTATTACCTTTTATGAAACAATTCGGTGTAGGCCTATGTGCACTTCCTAAACGGAACATGTAAAATAATTTAGAAAAAAATCATACCTCTTTTCGTTTACCTAAATAGATGCTCTGATTTGAAAGAAGACAAAAAATTGCTGCAGATACATAATCTGCTCAAAAATTTGCAAGAAATGTGCATTTCGTAAACTTAATTTTTTACCTGTAAATAACATACCTTTCGACAAGCTTTGAAAAGCTTACAGTGTTGAGGATCAAGGAATACCAAATTCAATCTCCGAATCAATGGAAATAAGGTGGAATACAAATGCTTTATTTGCATAGGATCACGTTATTGAACGACGTTAATGACGCTGGAAAGTTATCTCTGCAGATCTCCTAAATGAATAAGTCAACGTCTTTAAAAATGTGTTACGAAGAGCAATGATTCAAGTTATAAAAGTATATTATAACAATAGTTGGCTTCTCAAGAGAACATTTTAACACGTGGAGATAGACGTGTTAAAAAGAAGACATAAAAAGTCGATAGTGAATGTTTTATATTTATAAACCACTCTATACCTCTCCATGCACGTGTACTTCATGACTTGTACTCAATTAGCGGGTGAGATGGTGTACGAGGACCATGGTATGCCATTCTCCAATAAATAGATAATTATCTCCCGTTTTAGTTTTATTTTGTCTTGTGATTTTCTGTGGCATGCACTCCACATTCAGTGAAAATACTGTACTCTGAAATTGAAGTGTTATATAAAATTGATACGTCAAAGGTTAAAAGAGTGAACAACCTTTTTGAAAACAACCGTTATAGTTCATATAGAACAGTAAAAACTGTAAGATGTAACTTTGAGAAAGTTTACTCACTTCTCATTGTTTTTCGTCCTTCATGTAACAATTATCGTCATCATCTTTATCAATGATCATCACCATGGAAGCATCGTGGTACATGTATATTGATGGAAGCTGTTGGGTCATGTATTCTCTCATAATTTGTAAATGTTGGAATAATAATTGTACGCCCTGCATGGGCCCACCGGAAGAGCATACTGATGTGG